GGCTGTCGGGGGAGAAGCCCTTGCCCGTCTGCTGAGGCTCTTTGAGAGAGCCGGTGAACACGGAGGTAAGTCTGAGCCAGGTGACTCGTAGGAGACTTGGGCTTTTGGAGAGCTCTCGGGCTCCTGAGAGGGAAAATACAAAATAGCTCACAGCTGAAGTAACTCCACGGTCTAGTGCCACGGGCTGGAGGGCTGGTGGAGCCGGGCTTATTCCCGTGGCCCTGGGTGGCCCCAGAGGAGGGGTGGCTTTTTTTTTTCTTGGGGCCCGGCCGAGCTCTTCTCGCCCCAGCGGGCACCGGGGGGTCCGGCAGCGTCTGAGACCTCAAGCCCTGTAGGTTCAGGCCGGCTGGAAGTTGTCTGTGAATCCCCACTACTAAAATTCCATTATTCATACGACAATGCCAATTAATTCATCAAGGAACGTGGTGATTAACAAATACTACGGCCACAAGCGCTGCGTGAACAAGTACATGTTTCGTTGCGGTCAGACTAGCGTTTCAGCGCGCTGGTGGGCGTTTGCACCGACGCTCTCAGATCCGGGTTCTTGCAGCTCGGGATGTCGATTTATCGTGGTACGACCCCCAGCAGCCTGGTCCCGGGACCAGCTCCCGTTTCGTCACGGCTTTTGGGTTGAGGGTGCCGCAAGGGCGAAGCGATTCCGGCCGTGGGCTGGTAACGAGGATTTCGGGAGCCGCCTGCTTTGTGTGCCGACCTCCGCTTATACCAAGATGTTCGAGGGACAGGCTGCCCCCGAAGCTGAAGTCTGAATGCAGGCAGCAGCGATGCTGGCAGCCCTGCTCTGTCGCGTTCCTCCTCCTAATTTGGGGGGAATTCACCCGCCTGGGGGTGCGAGTGACGGCTGCAGTCAGAGCCCCAGTCCAGCAGTCCTCTGACAAGCAGCGTATTTATTTCGAGTGGTCCCTTTGATAACATAAATAGACTGATTTTACTTGGTAAGACGGACTAAATGTATTCTTCCTCGTAACGGCTCATTCATTCCCTGTGCCGATGTCCTACAAGCTCTCAGCTAATAATACTCGGCTTGGGAAAAGCCTGGGAGGTCTCAGAGGGTTTTACAGATGTAAAGAAGGTTACAAAATGGAAAAAGAGTGTTTTCAGCAGAGAAGACTGGAGAGGGGACCGGCTCGGAGTCACCCCTGGTTGCAGTCCGGCAGCCAGACTGGACGCTCCCACCCGCTCGCTGGCTTTTCCGAACGGAAGGTCCCGCCGGGTACCTTTGGAGGACGGGGGTTTCAGAGAGCTGGGTGATGCCTGCATGAACCATTTTATCACAGTATCCCTGATGTGCTCCGTGCGAACCAGCAGTGTATTACTCGTCTGCGCACAGCGTTTTCTTTCCCTCAGGTTTTGCTTTGTCATTCCAGCATTTATCCCTGTTTTGTTGTTGCCTGTGCCCCCTTACTCGCCTCCAGCCCCTGCGCCAGAGTCGGCT